GGAATCTAAAAAAGTCTAACTCATAGAAACAGTAGAAAGGTGATTTTTGAGGTCTGGGGAAGCCGGAGGAACAGGGCAATATAGATCAAAAGGTATAAACTTCCAGTTAAAGATGAATAATTTCTGGTAACCTAATGTACAGTGTGTAATTACAGTTAACACTGTATTGTATACTTGAAAGTTGCTTGAAAGTAGATCTTAAATGTTCTCTACACACATGCAAAAATAATAACTGTGAGAAGACTGGTTCATTAATTCACCTTGTCATAAAAATTATTTCACAATATATACATGTATCGAATCATCACATTGTATACCTTAAAGTTACATAATATCGCCATAACCGGTTTGGCTCATTTGATAGAGTGTCGGTCTGCGGACTCAAGGGTCCCGGGTTCAATTCCAGTCAAGGGCATGTACCTTGGTTGCGGGCACATCCCCATTGGGGAGTGTGCAGGAGGCAGCTGATTGATGTTTCTCTCTCATCGATGTTTCTAACTCTCTCTTCTTCTCCCTTCCTCTCTGTAAAAATCAATAAAAATATATTTAACAAAAAAGAAACAGATAAAGTTATGTAATATCATATGTCAATCATCCTATCTAATAAAGAGGGAATATGCTAATTGACCCTCACTCCATCACAGAGATGGTGGCGCCCACAGCCAATAAAGAGGGAATATGCTAATTATTGCCCTGCCTTCAAAGATGGTGGTGCCCACAGCCAATAAGGAGGGAATATGCTAATTGAGTGCCTTGCCGTCAAAGATGGCAGCACCCACAGCCAAAAAAGAGGGAATATGCTAATTGCCACACCCACAAAGATGGCAGTTTCCACGGCCACAAGATGGTGGTACCCAATCCCCTCAGCCCCGCTGGGGTGGCAGGCATGCGGAAAGGCATGTGCCTGCCTCTGGAGACCTCTAGTCCCCTCAACCCCCCAGCTGCCCAGGGCCGGCCTGAGGTGCAGGCCAGCCTTGGATGGCTGCTGCCCAGCCACCCAGGGCCGCCCAAGGCTCAGGTTACCAGGAAAGCCTCGCCGCCGCGGCGTCCAGATATTTTTCTTTCCAATCAATGTGAAGTAACTGCAGATGGAATATTCTGATGTTAAATAAATTTCTTTTGGAAAAAGTACTCCTGGATTGTGAGAGGGGGCAGGCCAGGCTGAGGGACCCCCCCTCCAGTGCATGAATTTTCATGCACTGGGCCTCTAGTATTTCAAAACTGGAAAAATAAAATAAGCAGTAATAATGATAGTTATGATGATAATAATAATATATAGCATGACTTATTGTGATTACTCTGTGGCCATCACTGTGTTTGAGCACATGGCATTCATTATCTCCTTCCAGACTCACAACAACCTGCTGAGATGAAGCTGTTATATCTTTAAGCATTAGGAAAGTATGGGCTTCAGGAGGTTAAGTTACTTGCAAAAGGATACACAGGAAGTAGGTGGGAGTGGTGATCTTAAAACCTAAGATTGTGATTCTAAACCAGTGCTCTTAATCAAATATCAGAAGTGAATAGAAGAAAATATTGTGGAAAATTATTTAACTTTCTTTTTATAGGGCACCCCAGAAATAGTTTGTTGATGATTTGCTTTTAATAGCAAGTATGCTAGTTTTATAGCTAAGCAATTCTGTGATATGAATGAGAATGTAATTATTATACACTAGTGGCCCAAGGCACAAATTTGTGCACCCTGAAAGGAACTGTGGGCTGCAAGGCTGCAGTGGGCACAGGGGCAGGTCTTGGCCCCTCTCACTGTGGCCCCCAGTCTCCTGTCTGCCAGCAGCCCTGCTCCTGCCACATCCTTTCCCATGCACTGATGGCACTGGCCCACTTGCACCCGCTGATGGCGCAGAGTGATTGGAACTGGCGCCAGTAGTGCCAGTCACCCCTCACGAGCAATGGGAGTTGGAGAAGCCCTGAAGGGCAATCAGGGCCGTCATCCATCACTCGCACCCGCACCCACTGATGGGGCCGAGTGATCGGGGCTGGTGCCACCAGCAGCAGGTGCGAGCAGCAGGCAGGACCACAACACGCGGGAGCAAAGAATTTTCAGTAACCACCAGAGGCTCACCCTGATGACAGCCATCAGTGTCCTGCCACGGCTGATGCCCACTATGTTCCACCCTCTGCCACTTCTGATGAACTGGCAGGTCACGGCTTGATTCCTGGTCAGGCCATATTCCTGGGTTGCAGGCTCAATCCCCAGTGTGGAGTGTGCAGGAGGCAGCCAATCAATGATTCTCTCTTATCATTGATGTTTTTATCTCTCTCCCTCTCCCTTTCTCTCTCAAATCAATAATAATTTATTTTTAAAAAATCCCAACTGTTTCAAAGCCATTCTTTAACCAATTTATAACACCCTTTTAAAATCTCTACTGGCATAATCCTTTTATGATATAACTTAAAACCCTTGATTAGTCTTCCCTGTGTTACAGAATTATTAGCTTCTTTGCTAGATTAAGTTCTTTACAACAGAGGCCATGTCATATTTATCTTTATGTGACCATAGTATCTCATAGTGAGATAATGCATGTGGAAATGCTTTGAAAATGCTTAAATAATTAGAGACACTGCTTACTAAATACTTACTAGATGCATGTTTTCTAAGATGCTCTATTGGGTTATAAATGCATTTTGTATTTTGCATACATTTTTGCTGCAATTTGTATAATTTGTTTAACTGTCCTCTGCCCTTTTAGTGTATAGATGGAGTTTTGGGTGGTGAAGATTATAATCAGAACAACATCAACCAATGGACTGCAAGTATTGTGGAGCAATCCTTAGCACATTTGGTTAAGTTGGGAAAAGCTTATAAATATATTGGTAAGTGTTACTATCCTTCCTTAGAAGTTCACTCACCTTTGTTCTTGTAATTTTCTCTGAATTTAGAAACTATAATTGAATGATAGACACTGTAGTTGGATATTAATCCTATCTAATAAAAGAGTAATATGCAAATTAACCATCACTCTGCGACAAAGATGGCCATGCCCATAGAGGCTGGGAAGGATGCTGGCAGTGTCACCCCGGCAACGTGAGCCAAGCAGGCAAGCGGAGCTTCAGGCAGCACCCAGCAGGGCCTGCTGGGCGGTGTTGGCAGCAACTTGCAAGCAGTACCCAGCAGGACCTGCTGGGTGGTGGCGGCGGCAACCACGAGCAGGCAAGCAAGCCCACAGGGAGCACCCAGCAGGGCCTGCTGGGCAGTTGCTGCGGAGACCAGGGAGCAGGCAATCGGGGCCGCAGGCAGCACCTAGCAGGGCCTGCTGGGCAGTCGCCATGGCGACCTGCAAACAGGCAAGCGGGGCCCACAGACAGCACCCAGCAGGGCCTGTTGGGCGGTTGCTGCGGAGACCAGGGAGCAGGCAATCGTGGCCGCAGGCAGCACCTAGCAGGGCCTGCTGGGCAGTTGCTGCAGAGACCAGGGAGCAGGTAATTGGGGCCCATAGGCAGAACCCAGCAGGGTCTGCTGGGTGGTGGCTGCGGTGACCTGTGAGCAGGCAAGCGGGGCCTGCAGGCAGCACACAGTAGGGCGGTTGAGGCAGCGACCTGCGGGCAGGCAAGCGGGGCCCACAGGCAGCACCCAGCAGGGCCTGCTGGGCGGTTGCCACAGAGACCGGGGAGTAGGCAATGGGGGCCCGCAGGCAAGCAGGCAAACGGACCCGCAGGCAGCACCCAGCATTCCGGTGGTTTGGAGCAGGCAGGCCCCACAGGCCCTGCAGAACCACGGGGAGTGGGCCCAAGCTGTCAGTAGCACATCCCCTGAGGGCTCCCGAATTGGAGAGAGTGTAGGTCGGGCTGAGGGACCTCCCCCATGCCGTGCACGCCCCCATGCACAAATTTCGTGCACCAGGCCTCTAATAGGGTATAAAGGACTTCCGACTTATTCATCCAAAGATAATATATGATAATATCTAAAAGCTAGAGATAACTTTTGCTATTCAAAATCCTTTTCTTGGTAACCTCACCTTTTATATTTACACTAGTAGCCCGGTGCATGAAATTCGTGCACTTGGGTAGGGGAGGAAAGGGGCCCCTCAGTCTGACCTTCACCCTCTCCAATCTGAGACCCCTCAGGGAATGTCCAACTACCTGTTTGTGCCCACACTTTTAACAGATAACAGCTCCATTGTTGTTTCTTTCTTATGCTTAAAACCATTGGAATTAGTAGGTATTCAAACTGTGTATACATTTTGGGGGGACACCCTGTATATCTCTAGTCAGCGGGGACACCCTGCATATCTCTAGTCAGCGGTGAAAGAAACCAACAGCAGATTTGGAACCCCCAGACAGGGAACCTCGCTCACTCCCCATGTCTCCCCACTTCACTTTCCACCTTCGTGGGCAGCAGGAGAATCGACGTTTTCTCTCATTAATTTGGAAAAGCACGTCCTGTCACCCACTGCCCGACAGGAGTGCACTAGGCCCCAAGCAAGCAAGGCTCAGTCAGGGCAGCCTTCGCTCATGGGTGCTGGCACCCAAAGTGCATATTCCTCCTCTACAGTCGCCCCAACTATCCAACTATTTCACTGAGAGGACAGAATTCCTCTCCGCCTCTGGGTTCTTGATCTTGAACGCTGACCAAAGGCACCTCAGTGAGGACCACCGGTGCCCATCAGGTGTGTCTATCTGCATCTGCTCCTGCCTCAGCACCTGCATTAACCCCCCAGAGGTGATCTCGTAGTTGCACTGGCCTCCATGGGAACAGGGCATCACCACTCCACCCTCTCACTGTCATCTCACAGGCGCCCACCCTCAGCACCCAGAACACCCAGACACTCTCCAAAAGACATGAGCGCATCAGAGGGGATGTGTGCACATCCTGTGGGGGTGTTAGGCATGCCAGGTTGATGGAAGTGCAGTGGAGAGGCAGGGGGAACTTGTGCATGCCTTGGTTTGCAACTGTTGCAGGTGTGGGAGGGTAACAGTGTGCTGGGGGATGTTCGCATGCCGGGGGGGGATGTGCACACCGGAGGCCTCTGGCTTTGCAGATCCACAAACCCTCGTGGTGCGGCCAGGAGGACGTCAGTCTGGCCCGCCACGGTGGCTGTCCCTGTGATCCTGCCCCTTCTGGGCCAGGAGGCAGATCTTGTGCAGCCATTCCTG